TTTGATTCCTCAAAGCTACACCAGGTTCTAATTTACTGTCAGAAGGAGATGTAAGGACAAATTCCCACAGGGAAAGTGCACGTTCACACAATGCTCATGAACACAGGGATCACCTGGTGACCAGCAGCTCTTGGATCTTCTCTTCTTCTGTGACCCAGTTTCTCCCAATTGTTTTTCACTTCTTCATTTAATCCCATTTTCCTCACTGAAGGTTAATTAAACTTGAAGGTGAATTAAAACTGGCCAGATCGCTCTCTTCCAAGAGCTCTGTAGCATCACACATCAGAACCATTTCCCATTTCTCATGCTGACTTACATTTTGCTGCAGTTAGGACTGTCAAAGAAATCTGAAATATTGGCACTTTTAGGCTACTGGCCTTCAAAGCTGTATCACAGCAGCAACTGCAGCGTGGACATAGAAGAACTGACTACATGAGAAGCAATGAAATGGATTCTAAATGTATTTAATAGATCCTCTTACGGTTTGGAGTCCAACAAAGCTCTTTGGAAACACAGGAGGAGCATTGATTCACTTGGACATGTCAGAGCAGCAACAACTGTTTATGTGTATCTTCAGGGCAGCTGAAGGAAGCAGCATTTCTCCTCACCTATTCATAAATCAAGCTTTAAAGTCAGTGAGTCATGTGCCAAGCTCCTTAGTGCTGTTCAGGCAATATAGGAAAGCTACAGGAAAACTACTGGCTCAAAATTGTCCAAAAATTGCATATGTAAATCTGTCCCTGCTGTTTGGGGATGACTGAAAGGATTTTTTAGGCTTCCATATGTAGGAATCTGATGGTCAATCACAATAAATACAACTTGACATCTGAATCAAGGACTTCAATCTCTTTCATAAACTTCATTCAAGGCATGTTGCAACAGCATATCCACTCAATCTTCCCATTTGGAAAAATGAATGAACTCAATTACAGTTCCTCCAGGTCAGCTTTTGCACTGATGAAGTTTCTTCTAGTTAGCACCAATTAGCATGTTTGGATATGTGATAGAAATAAACCTCATTTTGCCAGTTGGGTGGAGTTCACTGAGTTTAAAAAAATAATTTGACACTCAGCAGGTGAGAAAGTGGGGACAGATGTTAAAATGCAAATGAAATCAAAGGATGGAAAAATAATCCTATCATTTCTTCCATTTATGAAGCAGCAGTAAGCCCACATCCTCCCTTGCCAACACCAGACATTATAGTAAAGAAGTCAAATCAGGAATAGCAAGTGTATAGTTCTTAGAGCAAGCCCACTGCACTTGTAGGCAAGAAGTTTATGTACTGCTCCTCATCCTGTTACATGTCACTGTATGTTAATCTACATGTTTATGTAGAATAAATATGGTTAAAAATGGTAAAAGCAGTCAGTTTAAAGTAATTGCCTTTATGTTTTAAAATCCTGAATGCCTGCAATTAGAATTGACTCTGAAAAAAGTCTTCCTCATTGTTTCAGTTGATTCTGGATCATTAATTCTGACTTGTTACACCTGACTATTCCTATCACACAAAATATAGAGGTATTGTTTGGTATCTGTATGAAATGTTACGTTTTCATCTGCTTAAAGTTAAGAATTGCTGATTCCCAAACAAGTTTATGGAAATACAAAATTAGAATCTCTCATTTGACTATTTCTGACAAGTCTATTTTCATATAATACTGTCAGTAATGCTACCAAAAGACAGCATTTACATTGCAAACTCCACTGAAATTTGCCAGCTGGTAGACTGGATAGAATTTTCTGAATTTTCTCCATATAAATAACTGAAGAAACTTCCCTGTCACTTCCAGTAATCCTTATGGGGGAAAAAAAATTAATCATTAACTTTGACTATGCAGCACCTGAATAACCCAATACTGTCACTGAACTTGATCTTTTGGAAGTTGGCATTGGTGGGCAATGACAGCAAAAACATTTACTTTACTTCCATGAGAACTGTCATGACACAGGTCAGTGTGGACCAATTTCTTGGAAATTAAAACCACAGTGGACAAGATGATTTCAACTACCTGCTCCCAATATTCATGCCCTGAGGCCCAAGCCAGATTTGCTACAAAACCAGTCAGAGGGGGCTTGTGGTTCATTAAATATTGTGTCAAAGGATATATCTGTGGCGTTACCACAGACTTCTAGGTCTGTGTAATCTGTAAACAGTTTCTGTTTGATTAAATCAGAATGAGTTCAACAGAACTAAGGGGAAAAATACATCAAAATAAGTTCTGATTCCTTCTGGAATGAAAACTCAGACGTAAAGACAGCCTTATTTTTCTTAACTTAATCCAAGGGTCGTATCAGACAAACCAAAGGTCAGATACAACAAAAAGCCTCTGGGTCAAAGGGAACCACTGTAGCACCACGAGCATGGAGGAGGGAGAAAGGACAGGCAGTGACAAACAAGAACTTCCAAGCCATCTTGGAACATTTTCAAGTATGCCTGCAATGTTACTTTATTAGGCCTAAGTGCAAGTGAAGTAATCGGCTTTAAGATATTTCATTAGAAGCTGCAAACTCACCAGATCTATTCAGGTTGAAAATATTTTGGTGTATCTTTTACGTCTTTTGTGGGGAAAAAAAAATCAAGCTACAAGTCCCATTTTTTACTTTCTGCACCACATATAAGAAACAGGGTGTAATTGTTCATGGTGCATCTCTAGTCAATAATCTAAGAAAACATAATATTCATGAAATCAAGGTTTCATCTGAAATTCACTAAAGCCAAGACTTCAGTGGACTTTTGCACAGGTCTTGAGCTTCCCTTGGACAGCAAAGATAAGGGAAAAGCACACCTCTAATGTCCTTGGTGATGATCACAGTATATACAGAAAGCAAACTCTGGATGTAGGTACCTTTTAAACCAGAAGATCTCTTCAGGATCTGCAATTCCATATTCCCTTAACTTCATCACCATCAAGGAGCTCTTCCTGATGGCTTGCTCATAGCGTTGGCTACGGGACAGGAAGTTCAAATCCTCATGCTGGAAGTCAGGGTCATTAAGAACTAAGGCCTCTGGGGACAGAACAGAAGAGGAAAACAAGCTCAGTTTCCACAAACCTCAATAAACACAGAAATGACCCAGCGTTTCACCTGCTGTACCTCAAGGCACAGGCACCAGAAAATTAAAAATAGAATCGGAAGTGAATGAAATCAGAAAAAAGTCAAAGCCCTTTTTGAGAGCAACTCCTGGCGCTCTCATTTTACACATAAACCCCATGCTTAGGTCAGAGCACTCTGGACTTGGCAGGAGGGCAATTCCCTGACGTAAGACCTGCAGGTCCCTCAGCAACAGCCTCAGTGGCTCAGGCTGCTGTCCCTCAGCCTCCTGAACTCTGATCCCCTTGTCACTCCCTCCCTGCAGAAGGGCACAGCGACTATTGCCACTGTGCCAACTGGAAAACAAGTTCCCCTGAGACAACAGACCTCCTGTGCACCCCTCTCTGGCACAGAAGTTACACAACAGCAGCCTCTCACAGTTTGCCCCAGGGAAGAGAAGGGAGGCAGTTCATTAATCTCTCATATCACAGTGGTGGCGGGTGACAAACAGGTGACATTTGTACTGTTGGGCAAGAGCGTGGCAGGAAGGAAACAGGAGCGGAGAGGGCCCGAGAGAAATGGCCGTGGGAAGCTGCCTCTAACTCTCCAGTAGGAAGGGGAAACAGAAGTAAAAGGACATTGTTCTATCAGGGTCAGCCCAAAGCCTTCCTGGGAAGGGGAGGAGAGGGACGTAACGTAGCTCGTTCCTGTTTAACCCATCAGAGAGTTCCTGCTCGTGTCTAGCCCTAAACTTCCTTTAGGCTGTGACCATCTGTCTGCAAACCCTGTCTTTACAGCTCTCCCCTCTCCCTGGAGTCTCCCTTTTCCCCAAAAGCTCCTCCACACACCCTCCCTCACAACCTCGTCCCTCCTCACCTCCCCCGGGGTCCCCACCCCGTTACCCCCTCCCCATACCCCGGTCTCCCTCTCCCTGGGGGTCCCCTCTTGGCTCTCCCTCACTCCACAGCCTCTCCCTTCCCCACCGCCGCGTCTCCTTCTCCTAAAACCTCCCCCCCAAAGCCCTCACCACGGCTGTCTCTGCCCCTCCTCACCCTCCCCAGCCCGGTGCCCGCCGGGCCCTCCCTCACCGATCTCCTTGCGGCGGCGGGTGCGCTCGGGGCCGCCGTCCAGGATGTGCGTGAGCAGCAGGGGCTGGAAGGTGGCGGCGGCGCGTTCCCTCCGCAGGTCCGCGTTCATCGTCATCGCTCTGTCCCCGTCCCTGTCCCGATCCCGATTCCGGCCCCGCTCCGCCGGCACCGCCCCCGCGCGACGTCACTCCCGCGACGCCACGTGGGTCCCGGCCACGTGGGCGCCGTTCCCACGGGATGCGGGGCTGGAGCGGTGAGCGGCGCGGTGCAGACCGAGCTTGGAACGGGCCGCGGCCGGGGCCGGCATGCGGTGCGGTGTGCTCGGGGATCGCGCACGCCGCCCGCCGCACCGGCGCTGGATGGTTAATTAAATAAACGGCTCGTTAAGTGCCCTCGGCGCGGCGCGCTCGGCCGCGGGTTAAAGGCGGCGCTGGGCAGCGCTCTGGGTGCGCAGCGAAGTGCTGCGATAAATGCGCCCGCAGCGTGCTGCGGTGGAGGCGGCACGGGCGTTAAATAGCGCGTTAGGTGGGCACAGGGGGCGTGGCGGCTGGGGTACGGCTTCTGCAACATAAGCGATAAACCCGAAAAAGTGCTTTAAATGCACATCGAGCACCTTGCACCCCTGGCTAATCCCACCCGCCCGCACAGCGTGATTCGGCAGCAAAACCCACGCACTGCAGAACAGCCTTTGCCCTTCTAGAGGTGCAGAATTGGCCCTGCTTTTCCAATTTTAGGAGAGGCGGGGGCGGAGGGAGCTGCGGAGTGCAGAGTGGTGGGTTTCCAGCTCCGTGGCCCAGGTTGAGAGCGTGCTGGGGCTTTTGCAGCCCGCCGTGGGTGTCCACAGCCTTGCACGGGGCAGCCAGACACAGAGTGAGGCGTGTGCAGAGTCGGGGTGAGCCAGGATTGCCCTAGTTTCAGCAGCCTCCCACGGAATCCTCCGTGAGGCATTTTGCAAGCCCCGTGAGCAATGCGTGGGGTGGGCGAGGGACACCGAGCGCTGAAGCCACAGGATGTGTGTCAGCTCAGTGTCCCCGCTGCTGCATAATCGGTACTGGGGGTCCTTGAACCCCCTGGGGTGGCCCCGCTCATCTGAACAGCCTGGGCCATTGTGCAGCTCTTGGGGTGCCCCCCAGTGAAGCAAGAAACCAGGGAGAGAAGCAGCAAATGGAGCATGGAAACACTCCAAACACGGGCAGCCTGCAAGGAGGGGAAATGATGCCAAAAGAAACTACTTTGGGGCCCAGACACAGCCTGGCTACAGCATTGTTTGGGCAGAATTAAAGTCTTGCCAAAGCTGCTTTGCATCCCCTGCTTTTCTGTGTGCTTTGTGCTGTGTCTGACCTGCCTGTGCCAAGCCTTGCTCCACCACTGGATGTGGAGGTCTCACCTGAGTCTTGCTTTGGAATGAATCCTTTTCACTCATCGCTGTCTCCTAAACCCTTCTAGACTGCTGATGAAACCAGGCTGGCTTGTGCCCAAGTAATTGTTCTCCAGCTGCAGGATCAGAACACTGCCAGAATTTCTTATCCTGCAGTAAGATAACAAGTTCAGGATAATTCCTTAAATCTTGCTGCATGGTAACCCATCACCCCAGCAGCTGAGGCTATTCCTGCATCTCAGTCCCTCACACTCCCTACATTTCTCAATCACCATTTTTCCTTAACCTTTCTTAAACTATCCATATTCTGGGGCAGACCTGGAGGGTCTGGTGGGCTGCCTGTTGTTCATGCTGGGTGGTGTGGGAGTAGGCAGTGCCTGTTTATGCCAGGATGCCCAGGGCTTGGCACTGAGCTGCAAACAGGACTCAGCAGGGAACCTATGAAGATCCTACAGCCCCCTGGATGGTGATACCTGGGCAAGGAAGGGGTTTTAGGGCAGTGTCACTTATAACTTGGAACAGCATGGACTCATGTTTTGCTTTCCTGCAGGCCCAGCAGTTGTGTGAGATGCTGCCCAGTGCTGGTGTCTATTACTTCCCATGGGAGATCAACAGCTCAGTCCCTGAGGGGGAGGCCCTGAGGACATTTGGCAGGTCAGAAGGGTACCCTGCTCTCCTTGTGGGCCAGGGGATGCCATAAATGTGCCTTTCCTTCACTGGCTCACCCCCCTCACTTGGTTTGCAGTTGTATTTCTGCACCCCTGAGCTTCCCAAATCCATCATTCCCAGGTTATGCTGCTATGACCTGACCCGATCCGAAGCCGTTCTCACCACTCAGCACAGCTCAGCTCAGTACCAGGTCTGTGTCAACACCAAGTTTGTGGAGCCGTTCCAAGCCCAGCTGGGATCTTTCTACATCGTCCTGGGAGAGGCTGAATACAGAGAAGGTAAATGCTCCAGGAACTGGTGCCTTTTGCTGCTCTTCATGGGTCACTGAGGGCAGTGTGGGCCAAGGCAGCTCGTGTCATGCAGCTGCCTCCATCTGATCCAAGGAGCAGCCTGCCTGTCCCTGTTGACCATAAGAAGAGCCACCCTTATCTTGGTGCAGATCTGATGCTCTGGCACAGATTTTGTTAGAGACAAGAAGCACCTCAGCAGCACCGCTGGGCTTGTGAGACCTGTGCTAAAGCCTTCTGGCATCACCTGCAGCCACCACACCAACCATCTTTGCTCCAGTCGTGGCTGATTGCAGCAATAACTCATTGCAAGCTCGCTGGGTTGGTCTTTGCCATCCTTGAAAGGCTCTAATTATCATCCCTGCCCTCAGACATGTGAGGAATTCAGGCAGGCTCTGTCATGCAGGGCACCCTGTTGTCCTTTCCTGGGGTGCCCTGTGCTTCAGCTACTTCCCATGGGCAGTCGATCTGAGCTGGGCTGAGATGGTGAAGCAAATCCTTTGTTGTCTTGGCCACATCTGGTAGCAAGTATTTACATCTGTGCCACTGAAATCCTCGGAATGTGGAAAGCCACACTGCACGTGGCCTCTAGAAATCGACCTGCTACACCACTGCCACAAAATTCCTTTAGGAAGATGTTATTTTGGTCATCACAGCCTGGGAGTGAGTTGAGCCCCTTTTGCAGGGGTGGAAAGGGAGCAGGCTGAGATGATGGCTGTGTCAACAAGGTTTGGCCCTTCTGTGCAGCTCCACGTTACCGTTTGCCACCAATGAACTGTTGGTTATAGTCAGCTTTGAGCCTCTTCTAAGCCCAGCTTTGTTCTGTCTTGTCTGCACAGGAGCATTCAGAAATGAGATTAGACCCGTCCCTGCTGCTTTTTAGACAGGAAAAAGCAAACTCCATCCAGCCACAAAAGTAGACAGATGCTGCATGGCAGGCACTGGCACCGTTCCCCAGTGCAAGGAGACCACAGTGTCAGTCACCTGCATTTTGTAGCCATCAGGGCAGAGGGAAAGCATGTCACTGAATTAACCTGCTCCCAGGCCTGCTGCTCCCTCACTGAATTGGCCAGTGGACAATCCAGTCTCCTGGCACTTCTCGGGCTATGGTTGGTTACTTGTCCAGCTGGAGCAATGTGCTGCCTCAGGGAATTCTGTCTCCAAGCTGCTCTGTCTGTTTCTCTTTCTACAGAAACTTCCAGTCCTGTGGTAAAAGCACGAATATTGACCTGTGTGGAAGGGATGAACGTGCCCTTGCTGGAACAAGCCATTCAGGAGCAGAGGAAATACTTCAAGGAGAGGCAGGAGCAGAGGGAAAGCAGCACATCCTGACAGCTCCCAGACCAGCCATACGCTGGTCCTTGCACTGCCACTTGCAACCAATATGTTAAAAGTAAATTTAGTTGTGGGTTTGCTACATGGGTTTTGCTGTGGCAAACAGCAAAGTCACTGAGCAGGGAAGCACTTGAAGGCTGTGAGTCAGTATGTGACTGTGGGTCATGCATTCACGCCAAGTGTCATCACTGAAAATAGCTCTGGGAAGGTTTGTTGTTTGTTGTTTGAAAGGGTGACTAAGGAAGGGGAACACTTGGGTTATAATGGTCCTTTTGTAATGCAGGGATTGGAGAAGTCGGGAAAAGGAGAAGACTGAATCTGGAGTTAAGCAGCTCATTGTTGGCAGATTGGAGGAAAGAGGAAAGAGGAAAGGGTCATTAACACAAAGTAAAGTTCATTAGCACAAAGTTCATCAGCCCTGTGGGGCTGCAGGTTCATGAGTGCCTGAGTTTGGGTGCCCTGACTCAGTTGCCACACAGGAACATTCCTGGCAAAGCACTCACTTACCTGGATTGACCAACAAAGAAACAAGAAGAACAAAGAAACAAGAAGGACAAAGAGTCCATATTTTCAGTAGCAGCTGCCTCTTCAGGCTTTCAGTAGGTGGTGTCCAAGGGGAGGATTGATTTTACCTCTAAGATAAATATTTGCAGTGCCCTGACAAGCATCACTTGACTTTCTTCCTTGACACAACTAAGTTTAAGAGATCTTAAATCCCTTTTGAGAGATTTAATTTTTTTTGATTGATATTTTCCTAAATAAAGATGAAAAGAGAAGGCAGCGTGTCTTTCATTGATTGAAACCCTCTTTTTTGCCAAGTCAAATGCATTAGGCCCTGCACAAACCCTGTGAATGATGTAAGAAAATTCAGTGATCCACATTTTTCCTCTTCCTAAGTACTGGGTGTGTAAGGAAGTGGTTTGTTTTGAAAAAGTTGCAAGAAAAGGAGATGAAGTTGCATCAGAGCCACTCTGATGGTTTAAGAACATGGTGCCAGGCCCACCCAGCAGAATTAAACTACTGGCAAAAGGACAGAAAATCACTAACATCAAATGAGAATAAAATGGTTTTTCTGGTGAAATGTGCAGAAAATAAGGACTGAAGCTGTCCAATGCACAGCAGCAAATAAAATATAACAGGTATTGGCACAGTCCTGTTGCCAGCAGACTTGATTCAAGGGCTTGAGATGGCAATTACAGTGCTTGCATTAATCTTTAATCATAATTAAGTCTTATGTTTTTCTTCACCCAGCTACAGAAATAGAAAAGCTATGACTGAGCACACTCTGTTCAGCCCAAATCCAAACCCATGATTTCAAGAGACAAGATTATAACCTAGTTTTGTATCTGTCATGATGCATTTATGTTTACATCTCATCTCCTATCTGTTTTACCTTCCTCCCTATGCTTAAATTTTATCCAAATGGCCAAGTTTGCCAGAGTTGGGACTATCCAAGATGCCTGGACTGAGAATATCCAAAATACCAGGTTTCTACAAGTGTTATGATACAAAAACAACCCACAAACCCAACCAGCAAAGAACGGAACAAATTTGGCAATGACTCCAGACAGAGATTTCAGTGCAAACAACCTTCATGAGCCACCAGAGAAGCCACACAAGAGTTTGCCATGGCTGTGTAGATCCCACTTCAGCCACAGAGCAACCAATGCTTTGTTTTTTTCAAATTAGCAAAATCAGGATTAATTAAAAAAAAAAAAGAAATTGAGCTGCTGGCTCAGCAGTGGGCTAAATCAGCCCTTTTTATAGTCACATAAAAGTTGGAACTGTGGACCCAAACAACTGCCATGTCCATGACCACTCAGAGACATGGAGCCCCCAAGCCCTCCAGATGACATTCCCTTTGGCTTTGCCTGTCCTGGTGCCACAATGCGTAAGATTAATTTAATCTTGTCTTCTGTCAGCTGTCAAGTCAATAATTAATCCCTTCTCAAGGGCATCTTCCAAAAGGCTGACCAAGCGGCACAGCCCACGGTGGGGAGGTTAAAGGGACAGTTGCGCAAGACAGACACAAAAAAAATAAAAATAAAAATAAAAATAAAAAAAATAATAAAAAAAAGACATCCTGCTGGGTCTTTGACCTCACCGTGTCCCAGGGAACACCAATCCTGAACCTGATTATCCCCTTGATGCCAAAAACTGTACAAATGGAGCGGAGGAGTTTCCCCTGGCTCTGTGCAGTTCTTGCTGCCTTTCCACAGGCCCCAAAGCACCTCTTTACATCCATTTTCCTCAATTTTTGGCTTTAGCCAGCACACTGCATGACCCGGGCAGAACAACCGGCCCTGGTAAACCAGTGTGTGGTTCTTTGGGTCTGCCAGAAGCCCCCCAGACACCCCCAGCCCCCCAGAGTGCCCAGGCAGCCCTGTCCACCCACAGCCGCCCCAGGCAGGTCCCTGAGGGGGTCCCTCAAGGCTGAGGGAGCAGCAAGTGGTGACTCAGACCCCGGCAGCACCTCAAGGGACATCCAGGGAGACCAAACCCCTCCCCAGCATTCTCCTTTTTGTTTCCCGCCTTGGTTTTTTCCCCTCAGAGCGCTTTGCCGGCCACCCCCTCACTGCCATCGCCAGGCGGAGGCAGCCCCATGGAGGCCATCCAGGAGTCATTCCAGAAGGTGGAGAAGATCGGGGAGGGCACTTACGGTGTGGTGTACAAGGCTCGCAACAAGCGCACGGGGCAGCTGGTGGCCCTCAAGAAGATCCGCCTGGACGCGTGAGTGGGGCAAAGCCACGGGGCCAAGCCCTGGGCCCGCCATGGCGCCAGGCTGGCATCTGAAATGGTGTGAGAGGCTCAAAAGAGCCTGACGTGAGGGAAAAAGTGTCTCTATCAGCTCGAGCGAGTGGTTAGGGCCTTGCCCAGTGACACCAGGCCCTGGGCCCAAGGTGTGGGGCAGGGGGAAGCAGCTGCCATTTTGGGAGGTTCTCTCCCTCAGGGCTGTGGTGTGGGGGTCTGGTGAGGTTCATCCTCCCAGCGGGGTCCGCCTCAGCCTCTCCAGGGTGGGACTGAGCAGGTAAAAGCTCACTGCCGTTCCCCTGGATCAGCCCTGGGCTGTCTGCACAGTGAGGGGTGTCTGTGGGCTGGGGAGCCATTGTGGTGGGACTGCAACCCCATGGTGGCCCCTCAGGATGGGTTGCCTGAGGGGCAAAGAGCTTTCGTCTCTCACCACCTCCAAAAAGCAAGACCTGGGCATTTAAACCATTATTGCCTCTCTAAATGCATCCTCAGGTGCTTCCAAACCAGCTCTGCCCTGGGGCTCGCACTGTCTGGGTCTCCTTGCCCACAACTCCATTGCTCCCTGCCTCGCCCCAGACACTGCTCCATCCCAAACTCAAACGCTCCCCTGGGCAGGTGATGGGGTACAGTGGAAGAGGGAAGGGACACAGGACCCCAGTGGGCTGTGGGATCCCCCTGGGTCACAGGGTGCCACACAGCCTGTCTCTACCACAGGGAGTCGGAGGGTGTCCCCAGCACCGCGATCCGAGAAATCTCACTGCTGAAGGAGCTGAAACACCCCAACATAGTCAAGTAAGATGAACCCTGCCCCATATTAGATGCTGCCTTTAAATCTGCCTCTCTCTGCTCCAAAGGGCTCACAGAGCAGAGGCATCTGTGGGATGAGGGATGTTTGGGTATTCCCAAAGGTTTAGGAGAAGGTACTGAAGGGGGAATCTGCACTTCTTTTGCAGGCTCCTGGATGTCATACACAGCCAGAAGAAGCTCTATATAGTGTTTGAGTATCTGAGTCAGGACCTGAAGAAATACATGGACTCATGCCAATCTGGAGCACTCCCTTTAAGCTTGGTCAAGGTACAGTGTGGAAGGAGTGCCAACAGGCAGGGCAGAGAGCACGTATCCCTGCTGCCTTCTGCTGGGCAGACTGCACCTGAAAAACATTCCTCAACCTCTCAGATCTCAAACATTTCAGCTGGGAAACCCTCACGCCACTACTGCTCAGTACATTTATTTCCCAGCTGTTTCCATGCCCTCCAGCCCATCTCTGCTGCAGAGCAAACTGAGGGATCTATTGCTCATTGCCTTTCTAGTGAGTAATGAATGAGTGGAAGGGACTGACACTGCCTGGATTAGAGTCCTTCTGACACCATGCAGGGTGGGAGCAGGCTGTGTGTGTCTCTGAGTAGTGGCCCACAAGCCTGATGTTGTGATGTAGCAAGGTCTTTGTTCCCATTCAGACCTATAAATAATCCAAAGCATGTTGGTTCACATGATCCAGCATTCAAAGTGTTTTCATCATGGCCTTACCTGAAATCCCTTCTCTCCTTAGAACTACCTTTTCCAGCTGCTGCAGGGTGTGAGCTTCTGCCACTCGCACAGGGTCATCCACAGGGACTTGAAGCCACAGAACTTGCTCATTAACGAAGCAGGAGCAATCAAGTTGGCTGATTTTGGACTGGCAAGAGCTTTCGGAGTCCCGCTGCGCACGTACACTCATGAGGTAGTGTTGAGGCTCCCACAGTGGGGTACACAATCCACAGTGGGTGAACAGTAGCAGCAGCATCACCACAAGTTACTCATCCACAACGGAGGCACAGCTATACCCAGGAACATGCTCTTATCCTAACCTGCAGCTAAAAAGTTCCCTCACGTCCCCACAAAGTCTCCTGTCTCTAGCCTGGCTGCAAGCTGGGTTTCCACCTTCTCTGTACAGGGTATATTGATTTGTTTCAGAGCTTGTTTGTTGGTTCCTTTCCAGGTGGTGACTCTGTGGTACCGAGCCCCTGAGATACTGCTGGGATGCAGGTACTACTCAACCCCTGTGGATATCTGGAGCATCGGCTGCATCTTTGCAGAAATGGTAGGATGGGTTTAAATACTGTCTTTAATGAGCAGGGAGGAGGCAGCTGCAGTGGGAAGATGGCGTGAGATGCAGAACATCTGTGATACTGTGATATTTTCCCACCCTGTTATGGAAAGTCCACCCTGAGGGTTAGCTGATCCTTATCTCAGAGGGAAATCATAGGGCTCACAGCTGATGGAAAGGTGAGAACTGCAGCCTTCTCCTCTCCTGCCAGATGACCAGGAAGGCCCTGTTTCCAGGGGACTCTGAGATCGACCAGCTCTTCCAGATCTTTCGCATCCTGGGCACTCCCACCGAGGTGACCTGGCCCGGTGTGACCCAGCTGCCTGACTACAAGGGGAGCTTTCCCCGGTGGCCAAAGAAGGAGATGAAGGACATTGTTCCCAACTTGGATCGAGATGGGAGAGACTTACTGACGGTGAGTGAGGGCTGAGAACAAGACCTGGGGACAGACAGGACCTTTTCAAACTGGGCAAAGATTAGGGATATTTGAGGCATTTACCTGGAAGTGTAAATCTGATCGGGGTCTGAAGCTCACGTCTGCCATTGCAGAAGCACCAAATCATGGAATAGGGTTCAGCAGGACAGTCACTGCAGGTTCCTCTGGTAACCACTGCACTGGGAGTCAAGGAACTCTTCTAACATAATCCCCACAGTTATTTGAGTTGTGAGTGGCTCCTCAAGCACAGAGAAGGGAAAAAGGCAGGACCAACACCTGCAAGTGGACCCAGCCACGTGTGGGTGCGATCGATCATTCCATTTTTAAAATCCTAACTCTGCTGGGTTTTTCTCCTGGCAGCAATTGCTCCTGTACGATCCCAGCAAGCGCATCTCAGCCAAGGCAGCCCTCAGCCACCAGTACTTCCTCTGCAGGAGCTCCGGGACCCCTGAACAGCGACGTGCACTGCGGAGAGAATGCAGATGAGAGGACACAG